ATAATTACAAATAATAATAAATAATAAATTTAAAGTAAATCAAAAAATTTGGCAATCAATTAAAATAATAATATAAATAATAAATATAAGGAACAAAAAGAAAAAAAAAAAAAAGAAGGAGCGTTCTACAAATAATCTAGTCATATGCTCAGCCATGTAAAAAAAAAATAAAAATAAAAATAAAAATAAAATAAAAAAAAAAAAATTCATTTCTAATCAATTTTCGAGTTAATCGGGGAAATTAAACTCCATAAATCAAGTTCAACGAGATGGGTATGATCGAAAAAAGAAAATGTTTATCGATTCATGTACGTGTAACCTTTAATGCCGCCCAATCGTGTAAACCAATTGACTAGTAATAAATTTCAGTTAAAAAAATTTTTTTTTTTGTTAATGAAACCTGCATAACCACTGAATGAATTCGTGTCACAAAATTGTATTAAAATAGGCAATTCATTTCTTTATTGCAACTAATAAATTCACCCTTTTAACGGTTAGTAGAATGGGTACAAATTTGGTCAAGTAATTTGATAAAGTTTGAAACAAGACATCAGAATTTAAGGGTGAACGGAAATTATTTTTTTTTAACAATTAAAAAAAAAAAAAACAATTGTTAATAATAGTTTTTTTGTTTCTATTTCGGAGATTTTAAACGAAGGAATAATTAAAGTCGTTGTTTGTAAATTGGAATACGATTGATTATATTTCCTTATGATTCGGTGACTTTCATCATTTAAATGAATTATTTAGGAAAATTATTCGACATTTAATTAAAAATATTAATTGATATCATACAAAGTTCTTTATTTAGTCTAATTGACCTGTATAGAAGGAGTAGATAGTCCGTCCATTTGGTTACACATTGCTTAAAAAGAATCATCCCATCAACAAACTCGATCAAATGAAGCATGTAAAGTGATTAAAAAAAACAATGCATTACGTGGTACAAATTTCCACAACGGTCCATTGTATGTGATGATGTCACGGCAGATGTGTAATTATATTTTTTTAAAAAAAAAGAAAGGAAGAAAGAAAGGAAGAAAAGGCTAGAATAAATTTTTTGGTTTTAAGTTTTAACTAGTTTTAAACGGCCAAGCTAATATTTTCCTTACACACATGACATCCTTTAAATCCTACATCTCACGCTGCTGTAATGATTTATCCACGTGTTGTGGCTTAACACGTTTGAATTTGTAAGGTTTCAAATATTTAAAGAACAAGATTTCGCACTAAACAAAAAAGGATCATTGCCCGTTGTGGGAGCTTCTGACGTAAAGACGTCCTGAGAATCTAAAAAGTTTTCTTTGTTTTTTTTAGGAAAAATTATGTCCATCATATCGGTGAAGAAATTGCGAGAAGGTGGTTTCGTTTCTTTAGTGGCGAACTCCGCAATCTAATATTAAAATGATGTATTATGAAACGTCTTTGCTGCAATTATATTTTCCTTTTTCCAAACAAAATAAATGATAATGTAAAAAAAAAAAAATTGATACAAAGAGTTTTCCGGTGGTAAAATTTGACAAAGAAATGGTTTAACCTAAAATAGAAATATCGTAATATTATTATTATTTTTTTTATTTTGCAGTCGAATATTAAAAATAAAAAAAAAAAAATAAATAATTCCGGAATTTTTTTTAAAGTAGAATTCTCGGATCAATTTTTATATTATCGAGTTGATGAAATTAATAAATATAATATGTGAGACAACGATCCTCTCCAAAACAAAGCGATGCACGTGATACAGATGATATGCCCAAACAAACAAAAAAAAAAAAATATATTCTTTATTTTAACATATTCGGTGAACAATGTATAAATTAAAAACAGCAAATATTCATGAAATTTATGCACTTTCGTCTAGGCAAATGCGCTTTAATGCACTTATTGTTGAGATTATGGCGCAATACTCTGAGATATTGATTTAAGGTTTTTGAGAAAATATTTAGAAAATAGATTCCTAATGCAAGATGTAAGAATGTGTGGTATAATAAAGTTCGAGGAATAAAATAAATATTTTGCACAAATTAAAAAAAAAAAAAGTTTGAAAGATTCCTCGCCTTTCTCCGATACTTGATGTTCTATAATTCGAATCAAACATAAATTTCGAATCATTTGACATGCACAAATATTTACATTAACGTTTTAAGTGGGAGCAAATAGAAATCATAAAAAAATGCTCTGATACGAAAAACTTAATCTTCAGGTTTTATGATATGTAAGGATTAAGATGATATAGGGTATTACAGAACATATATCATGTTACGCTTTAATAAATTACGTTAAATGCTATCTATAAACATTCAGGTCTAAATCATTTTAGATGAATCTGAATTTGTAACACGAAGCCAAATAATTTGCCTGAACAATATTAGATTAAACCCAATTCATTTAATGTAGAAAGGTATTATTGTAAATCCACTATTGATTCAAGTTCAAACCTGCTTTATAAAAATGAAAAACAAGTGATTTGTTGCCAAAGTTCTCTTAAAGGAAACTTTACGTTATTATGTCTCGGATGTTATCTTTATGATGCATAGCCGTTGAGACGGGAAAGGTAACATTAACATTTTTACGTTATTTCATTTGTGGTATCAGGTATTTGACAGGTATGATACTCGTTATCTGTTGGGTTAGTGATCCAATTGTTCTTGAGCGTGTTATCTTGCTGTGTACTTCGGATAAAGTTAAATTTTTTTATCCATAATTAGTGTTTAGTGTTCAATTGTTATACGATTATAACCAAAACCTTTTGAAATTTATCTTTAAAAAGCATTTTAGATTTCCTTAACCAGTTAGAGGACTACCGTTAGTTTACGTTCATTGGTTTTATTTGTTTGAGGGATAAATTTAATCTTGGATTTATTGAGCTTAAAGGAATTTTAAAGTTTAATTAATTTATTATTAATATATGACTTGATACATTTAAAGTTAAATACATAAAATATATTATAAATTTTAAACCTAAATTATATATTTTTTTTTTATTGTCAAAAAGGACCCGTGACACAAATTATATAATTATTTTTTTTTGTTCTTTATGTTTCCCTTTTCCCTTTTTTTTTTGATTTTTTTCTTAAGAAATATAAAATGATAAATGTTTTCATAATTATAAAATAGCGAATAAAATAAAATAAAAATAATATTGTTTATTTATGCCGAATAATTGTTGTTTCCTCCAAAGTACAATTGATAAAAAAATTCTAACTGATTCTCCAACTCTTGAACTCGTTGTTCAAGTACGATATTTCTAGTATTTATATAGACAAAGGGATTTTGACCGCTTAGACTTTGATCAAATGTTTGAAAATTCGAGGAAGCTGAAGATTCCGGAGAGGACATAACGGAATTATCGTAGTACATCGGTTGTTCATGATTCAAAACGGAAGGAGGGTTCAACATGACATTTTCTTGTTGCATTGGTGCTTCATATTGTGGACATTTTGTTGTAAGGACTTTCTCTTCGAAATCCTGTGTCGGGGATGACTGACTTTCAATTTCTCTTTTAAATTTACCATTTGGAATGGATTGTTCGTAGAGGAATGTAAGTCCTCTAATCTGATTAAATAACAACTGTGCGTCATTTGCCATTTTCCTGTAAACGTCTTTGACTTCTTTAGGCTCTTGTTTCCACAGACGACTTGCGTGAGAAGAAATGTTTGATCGATTACAGGGAACACGTTTTGATTTTAATTCCCTTACTAGCGCCATCCTGTACGCGATGAACGCATTGGGAATCCTCACATTTTCTTTTTTTTTGGATTTTTCTCCCTTAGGGAGAAGTTCTTTTGCAGTAAGAACCGGCGGAAAGGGTGGTCGTGAAGTACCAATGATGTTTTCAATCTTGCATCGAACCATGACCTTTCTTCGATTAACCATTTCTAATTTTTCTTTTTAATTTAAAAAAATTTATAAAGGTAAAATAAGAAATGAAATAATAAAAAATATGCTTATGTGAGAAAATGTTCGATTTGGATAAATTGAAATTTATGAGAAAAAAATATTTTTTTTTTTTTTAAATTTTTTGCGACATCTTTCACTCTTTTTATATACACGAGAATTAATATTTTTTTGAACTAGCCACTTACTTCAAACATATATATATAAAGAGAAAGGGACAATGTAAATTGATAAAGCTAAAAATAGTACTTGTTTCATGGAGAGTTGCACGGAATTGAGATTGCGGATAAACTGTTAATCATCTTTCCTTTTTCGTCATGAATCATATAACACGCAAGATGGTGATATTTTAATCAATTAATTTAAATAAAAATAAAAATTTTTTTTTTTTTTTTTACATTGAACGTTTTATTTCGTTTTTATTAAAAAAAAAAAAAAATACTTATCTTTTACGATTTAACCAATCAAATATTGTCGAGCGTAACATATTCAATGTCGGACATTTTTTTTTCAGGACAACTATTTGAGTAAACCTATGAAAATGGAGCGCACACAGCAAGGATACAAACGGATGCCGCGTATAGAAAAACGTCTCCTTTTTTTTGCTTTTTTCGGCAGTCAAGAGATTTTAAAAAAAGAACCATATAATGATTAATTAAAAAATATAAAATGTAAGTTATTTATTTGATTAATAATAAACCTTGATTTGTTTACTAAATGTTATCGATTTGATCATTTTTATACAGGTGCTGTACTTTAAACAACTGAACCGCTTATCTTGTCATGATACAAATTATTAGTTTACACAACTTTTTAAGTACTCTCCTTTTCCTGAAACGCAGCAAATTCAACGTTTGGTGGTTGGTTTACTAAAAATATTTTTATATTATATTTTTTTTTTTTACCTTTAATATTTATTGTTCGCATCAAATATTGTAAATAAATGACAAAGTTCGTTGTTCTTTCAATGAATCGATCGGTTTGACTTTGAAAATTTATTAGTTGGTTTCCGAAAAAAATTTTACTTTTATAACATTTGATTTATTTGGTGCTTAAATTTTTAATTACATCGTACCACTGAATTTTAAACTTGAACCTTTGATTTAATCATCCAAACATTTCTTTACCATCTCATTCTCCAGGACCAAATCGTAAGCGTCTCTAAAATCCTGGTCGGCTGAATTCCAAGCTTTTCTGGCTTCGTATGATAATTCAGTTCGCGAAAATCCCGGTAAAATTTTGGATAATTCCTTATTCAATACGAGATAGAACAAGCTATAGCTTTGAGAACTAATAGTTTGGTCATGTTTAGATTCCGGAGATTTTTGATATTCAATAAGGAGTCTACGTGCTTCGCAAGCCGTAGGTATTGTAACGACGATCGTAGCGGTATTGATCTTTACTACCATACTTTTGGAAATGCCTTCTTCTTCTTGTTGTTGCGGTGGTGTCTCGATTGACAGGTTCGTATTTTGAGGAAAGGATTCATTTGAATTTCGATTCGTGTTGAAAAAGTAATTACGAAGAACTTTTAAACAGCACATTTTCTAAGAGATCATTTACTTTTTTATTAGGCGTAAAAATTATTTCTTATTACACGATTTGACGAAAATCGGTTTGGGAGAGTGCTGAAGAAATTTTTCTTCGCATCGTTGAAAAGTCTCGATTTTTATCGTATTCTTTCTAACAATGCAAGGAATATTTGGGGGTGTGATTTCAAGAAATGAGGGTCCAAGGATTTCTTCAACAAAGATTTTGTTTGAATCTATAACGTTCATGTCAAAAATTTTATTTGAACCTCACACCCCCCATTTTAAACCTTTACAACTAAAAACGACGTTTTTTCCTTGAACATTTCCAAAAAATAAATTCCCCATGAAAGGTGGGAATGATACCGCGTCACCACATCTAAAAAAGTCACTTAATCAACAAAGTAACAATTAACAATAACGTTCGTTAGATTTAGATTTTTAGATCGTGCGATTTTATTTCACTTCCAGTTTAGGTAATTTACAACAATAAAATTAATTCGCGTTAAAATCTCATCACAAAAGCAATTATTATTTATTATTATTATTACCGGTATTATTATTAATTTTGCTGTTGTTATTTGACCTTGCTCATGACAAAATAAAAAAGAATAATTCACCTTGAACTTGGAAGTCAAAGTCTCATTATTACATTATTGTTACAATTCAAGTCACGTGCAACGATCGTCATCGTTTTATTAAAAAAAAAAATTCCTTTTTTAATATGATACACCTCCACCAATTATAATGGTATGATTATATTATATAAAAAAAGGGATGCTCTATTTATTAAATTGAAATGGAATGATATCATAAATGGGACTCGATTGCCAAAACCAACATGAATTTGAATGTACGTCATTCTATTTTTAGAAATTCAGTAAAATCAAATGTTAAAAAATACTGTGGTTATCAGAACACAACTGTCGGCGTCAAATTACGAAACCATCGTCGGTCAGTTTCGAAAAATTAAACGTCGAAAATTTGAAAAAAATTGAAACCAAAAGCCGAAAATCGAAACCTGGGTTGAATTCCCATGGACCTTATGAAATTGCGTTGATATTATGCTCATCGTATCCGCACAAATAAGAAATTCTAACTTTAATTTTTACCCAAGGTTAAACATGACAATTTTCGGCCCACATTAATAATTAATTCTGGTCCAAAAAAAGTTTAATCACACGGACTCTCAAATTGTTCGGTTTTGTGCGACATAATTTTGGTGATAAAATGTAACCACCTAACAGGTTTCGAAATATTGAAAATCGAAACCCTTTCGAAACTATAGTTAGTCCCTTTCAAATTTTTGTAATAGATGAAAAAATCAAACTTTGTTTCGAATTGCGAAGCCACAGACCGAAAAGTAAAGTTTATTGAGATCCATTTAGATAGATTAACCATAAAATTTTTATTGGTGTGGTCTTCAATTTTTCGTGTGACAATGGTGCTCATGATTTATATAATTTCCAAAAAAGGAAATCAAAATGTAATGATTTTTTTTTTTGATAAAAATTTCTAATGTAATAATAATAATGTAATACTTAAGAAACTTAATGATCGGATATTATTTAATAACTAATAAGTACTTTTAATTAAAATATATTTTTAAAAATATATTTGTACAATTTAATAATATATTAATCCTAGTTTGCGATTACCAAATATGCACTTTCAAATGAAGGTCGTAAAATGATTGCACTTGGCAGTTATAGTTCAATCTATAACATTTTCTCCTGAACACCTCGTAGAGGTAGCAAGTTTCATTGTTTTTTAACCACATTTTATATGATGGATCGCTTGAGGTGAAAAAAGAATGTTCAAGCAAATCTAAACCATAAAAAATAAATAAGAATAAAATTAATTTTCACCTCCAATTACATCAAATAAAACTTGACAATTTCTTTTGGTGGATTTTTTTTTTTTTAAAAAAAAAATAATAATAAAAGTAAAGATTATATTTTCTAAATTGAAATTTTTAATAATTTTTAAAAAATAAAAGGATATTTTGCCAAAAAATTTTTTTTTTAGTACTGGCCAAGGGACAAAGAAGAAAATTTGGCCATTTAAAGGAGTGGAAAGGACTCGAACTATGCTCAATGGCAACAGATATACCAGGAAGATATAGATCCATTGGTACATTCGTTGATTGGGGTTCCGATAAATGCCAGGAAGATCAGGAACCGTCCATCGAACTCTGACTACCTAAAAGACGATAATGAATTATAATCAGGAGGGTGGATTGGAATAAGAAATAATGGGTAGATGAAGAAGAAAATGATGATTACGATGGTGAATAAGGGAAGTTTGCGAACGATAAGAAGTCGTATTATGGAGGGCGGAGAAGATACAGGAATGGGAGGTGAGAGAGAAGGAGTAAAATAAGAAAAGTAGAGGAATTCGATGAAGAATGAGAGCAACAGAGAGTGAAGTACAAAAACTAAAGAAGTGGCAACGGATGCAAATTATAAGAAAGAGTTAGGGTAAAATTAGACGAAATGGAAGAGGAAGGAGAAGAAGAAGAAGAAACAACTGTAGCAGAAGAAAGAAGAGAAGGATGGAAGTAAATGAAGAAGTTCGTCTTGGAGCGACAGCAGTACGAACGGCTCCTCGAAGCGATCCTGTCAAATTCTTCGAGTCATCGTTTAAAAGATTCCTAATAATAATAGAAATTAAGTCTTTAAATTTTGCTTTCTCTCTTTAAAATTGGCCAATGAAAGCAAATAACGAATGAATGACGTCAGATGCGTCAAATGCTAATTTGAATCAAAAATCATAAAGACCTTACATTTTTATGATTATATCGATCTTGGTATTAATAGGTTAAAAATATTTCTTTTTTATGCATTAATTATCAATAACTCTATATAATTATTTTGATTCTTTTGCAAATCAAAAAATAATAAAAATTTTATAATGAACATAACTTTTCATGTTAAATGATAATTTAGAATTACAAACTTTTGAGCTTATTTTTGCTTATTAAAATAATATTTGTCGTTTTTAAAATTCGTTAAATAATCTTGCTATTTGCGCATTGATCTTGACGAAATTGAGTTTTTTTTTATTTTTGGTCACGTAATACCAAATTTTGTTAGGCAATGATGCTTAAGTATTGACTAACGAAATGTAAGTACATTCTTTTTAAGAAAATTTCAAGTTTACACGGGGTGTATGTACACGGATCATGTGACAAATATATATTTGTAGCTTTTACCGGTGAAAAATTATTATTCGTCAAGTCCTATCCGTCACATGGCTAATTTCTTTAATTCCTTAATGCCGGCGAAAAATAATGTTAATGCCGGTCGTGTCACGTGAATACATACAAATAGAAATTGCCTCTTTTTAAATACCAATATTTTTTATAGCTTGTTGACAATTCGCATTTGCAAAAGTTTACGATAATGTGCCATTTTCTTTTTCTTTTTCTTTTTCTTAGCATAATTCTTAAATCCTTTGATGACTTTTCCATTCAAAAAGTAACTAATAATATTTTTAATGGTGAAACATGATTAAACGTTTGTTGATTAATAAGGCACACATACATTTAACGAATATATGGGAGGATTGCTATTAAAATCACGTTACGGACATATGGTTTACTATGTTCATAAACTCGATTTTAATAGCAAACCACCATATGTCGATACAGGCACAATCCATAGTATCTCGTATTAAACAAGTCAGGAATTGATATTCATCTTTTATATTTACTAATTAATAAATTTAAGATTAATTCCCCTTCTCGTTCTTTAACTTTTTCTTCTAAATGTTTGGATAGTGAACGTTACTTTGCTTCAATACTGTAATTTTCAAATCTTTTATCATATTTTCTAGATCCTTTTTTTTTGCGATTCAACCTTCTATAATTTCGGTCTAATTATTTTTTTTTGTTGTCACAGATAATTCGCAAAATTTTCCGTTATTTTTCCCATTTGATAAAATAAGTTCGTTTTCTTACCAAATAAAGTTTGTTGAACCGTAAGCATTGTTAAACATTTGAACAATATCACTATCATGTTCTTCGAATTTCGTAGTACAAACTTAGTTGTGATTAACGGATATTTTAAATGTCTAAAGTATGAAATAAAAGAAAAAACAATGATAATTAACTTACCAAAATTTTTCCGAAATTGTATATTTTGTTCAAAAAGAAGATACCAATAACAACTTACTTCATTTCAGAATAATGTGTATGTTGTGTCCCAAGTTAATGATCTGCCCCAATGCAAATTTCGATTTCGGGCAATCCAATTTGAAATTTCAAATTTGGGCAATGCGATTTTGCTGCCCCAATTTTAAATTGAGGCAAATTGAAAACTGGAAACGCGGTGCCCCAAGTTGGCTTTTCCTTAATTTAAAATTGGATCAAATTTGAAACTGGGAAAGTAATACACAAGTTGACTATTATTTCAATTTAAAATGGGATAAATTGGAAACTAAGAATGCAGTGGCTATTGCCCAAATTTAAAATTGGGATGAAATGTGACGTTTCAAGTTAACTTTTCTCTAATTTAATCTTTATATAATTTAAATTTTAAAATTATTAAATCAAATGATATTTTTGGTTGTATAAATTAAAAAAATAAATATTTTGTATCCAATAAATTTAAATTAAAATTAAAAATAGTGAAATTTATTTTTAAAACATTTAATTATTTACTATTTATATAATATTTTTTGTTTTATAAAATTAAATCATTGTTAAATTTACTAAATAATTAAAATAATATTTTATGCAAAATCTAGAAAGTAATTTTTTTTATTTAATATTTAATTAAAATATAAAAGCTATTTTTGAAATTTAATTATTATTCATTATTCTTTTTACTATTATAAAGAATAAATTCCAGGATTTTGACATTCTTTATAGGATGAAATTTGTTATTATATGCTAAATTTTCTTTTTTATAAGAACATTTCATTATACTACAAATAGTATTAAAACATTTGCATTTAATTAACTTTCTATTTAAAGTATTATTTGTAATCTAACTGCTGCTATAATTATTACTATTTTATCTGATATACCTATCAATTCAGTTATTGATTCTAATTTAATAGATTCTAAATTTTTTTTCTTGATAATAAATATTTAATTTTTCTTCAAAAATTCTAATTCATAAAATCTTTAGATTTAATCTTTAAAACCTTTTATAGTAAATAATTAAATCCTAATTTAGTTTAGTTTAATTAACTAACAATCATTTTACTGATAACCATTTAACTGACAATTATTTGATCGATAGTTATATTTTACTAATACTTTGATTACTAACTATCATTTTACTAACATAATTATTTTACTGACAGATTATTTTACTGATATAATATAAACCTTTCTTATCTACCTACTGAATAAAATATATAAAATTTTAAAAATTTTATTATTTGTTAGTAAAATAACCTATCAGTTAAATAATCATATTGGTAAAATAATAATCAGTAATCTAAGTATTAGTAAAATATACCTATCAGCTAAATAATTATTAGTTAAATAATTATCAATAAAATAATTAACAATAAGTTGAATGCAATTTCCTAATTTTGCTTTATCATATTTTGAAATTTTAAATTAATATTATTATTAATTTTATATAATCCTTATTTTAATATTTTTTCTATCAAATTTTTCATATATTTTTTATATTATTAATTATTAATTATTGTATTATTAAGTATTTGATTATGTGGATCAAAAAAATCTTTAATATTAAATGAATTAATAAATGTATTATCAGAGAATAAATTATTTTATTATCAGATAATAATTTTATTCATTATTAAATGTTAATAGGATTTCATTATTAGATTTGGATTCAGTTTATTATTTAATATAAATTTTGAAGTATCAATTCAAAATATTAATATATTGTAAAAAAAACTAATTTTTCTAAATCATATAAAGCCATTTGAATTTCTTTTTTAAGTATACTTAGTTTTAAGTTTTATTATGTCTAAATAAACCTTTCTATAATAAATTGATTTCTTCCCAAGAAATATGTTTAATTTAACCTTATTTTAATTCAAATAATGTATTGGAATCAGCTTTAAGTATTTTTTTAGGCTTTGATTGCTTTAATATTCAAATTTAAAAATATATATTAGAATAAATAAATTGAATAATAATATATAAAATTTAAATTAATTTATTACTTTTTTTGTAATATTAATTTCATTTTTATTATTAAAATTTGAATTAAATAAAGTATCTAAACCTTTTATTTTTATTTCTTTATTTTTTAAATTTTTTATTAATTGCATTTATAATAAATAAATATTATAATAAATATAAGTAAATATTTTACTAAAATAATTATAGTCAACTCTTATTATAATGAACTTTATGTTTTAGACCTCAACTTTGCTATAAGGTTATAGTAAAAATTTTAAGAGATTTGATTAGTCAATTCACTATAACAAGAGTATTTATATTATATTTGTTCAAAAAATTCATTATATCAATAGTTTGCTATATCAAGAGTTGATTATATAAAATATATTTATAACTTATTATAGTAGATTCATCATTAGATTCATTATTTTCTTTTTTTATATAAATTTAAATTTTAATAAAAATTTTAAGAAATAATTTTTAAATTTATAAAATACTTATTACACTTACTTGATTAAAATTATATGAAATATCATCTTATTGAATATTAAAATTACTTTTCATTAATACAATTATTATCTTCAAATAAATGTTCTATCCATATTTTATCATTATGAGGATGCATTCCAAATACTATTTCATATGATATTTTATTAGTACTCAACATATAGTATTATTAATAACAAAAATAACATAATTCAAATATATAGTCCAATTTGTTAAATGATTTTATTCTATTTATGCTCCAATTTTTTTCTCTAGAATAGAATTTTCTCTTTTAATTCTAGGCTTACCAATATATTTTTTTGTTTATTATATTATTTATATTATATATAATCAATATTTGATAAAATAATATTGATGAACTTGAGAAGATCTAATGGTTTATTAATTCAAGATCGGACTGTTATATTTTAAAAATATATTTTAAAGTTGCTAATTAATAAAGCTAAATTAAAAAGCTAAATGATTTTCAATTCAGGTGTGTATTTCATAACAAACGCTTTATTCTAATTACATAGAAAATTTCAATGCCTAAGGAAACTTATTCATAATTATAGAAATATTTGCTAATCTTGAATGGAATGGTTATAAAGTTATGGATGTTTATCTTTTATTTTCTACTTTCAGGATGTAATTTCAACGAAAATTAAAGAAAGATTAATTTCATGAATGATTGCAAAATTATGGATTTATTTTTTGTAACACGTTTATTTTAAGTAAAATTTTTATTTATCTTTGTTTTAGGAAGCGCTGTATTTATAACCATTTTCGTTCTCAAATCAATAAAAAATTCTTTAGGATAGAGGATCAAAATAATTTGATAGATTGACACATCTTTACATAGCATTTTGCGAACAATGGAATTTAAATTTTTAGATATAAGAGTTTTTACTTTTTGCAATTTATTTTTTATAAAATATACTTCTTCTTTTTAATAAACATGTAAATCGAATAACTGGATTATGTATGCGAAAAAATAATTTTGGATCAAAATTATTAAAATTATTTAATGTTGAACAAACGGGAGCTTTATTATTAGACTTATATGGAATTAAAATATTATTTTTTATATTAAAACAAGAGGTGAAAGTGTTGGAATTTGTAGTAATATAGAAAGTTTTAATAAAATTGATTGTGTTTCTTTAAATTATATCTTTTCTCCAACAACTTATTCCTGATGTCACGATACAAACATCTTTTTAACTATTTTTTTACATAAATAATAAATAACTGCTTGAACCAAAAATAGTAAAAAATAGTTAAAATAAAACAGCTAAATTTGCTAAAATTGCATCAGATGGTTGGTTGTTTTAGGTTGGATCTGCGTTAAGCAATTGGGTAAATTTAGTAAGCTTTTTATTTTAGTGTCATTACACCAGAGTTTAGATAAGGAGTTGGGCAAAGTTGGTAAGCTATTTATTTTAGTCAAATAACACTCGAGTTTCGTTAAGGAGTTGGGTAAAGTTGGTAGGATAGTTATTGGAGTAATATTACAATAAAGTTTCGTTAAGGAGTTGGGTAAAGCTGGTAGGGTGGTTATTTCAGTACCAGAGCAATCAAGTTCCGTTAAGGACTTTGGTAGCTATTTATTTTTGTCCTACAAAAAAAGAGATCCGTTAAGGAGTTTGGTAATGTTGGTAGGATTGTTATTTGAGTATCAGAACAATTAAGTACCGTTAAGGAGTTGGGTAAAGTTGGTAAGCTATTTATTTTAGTCTTATAACAAAAGAGGTTTGTTAAGGAGTTGGGAAATGTAGGTAAGCTAGTAATTAGAGTTTCAGAACAGTCAAGATAAGATAAGAAGTTAGGTAATGTGGGTAAGCTTGTTATTTGAGTTTCAGAACATTTAAGAAAAGATAAGGAGTTAGGGAATAATGTTGGTAAGCTTGCTATTTGAGTTCTATGGCAATAGAGTATCGTTAAGGAGTTTGGTAATGTTGGTAAACTATTTATGGGAGTTTGGTTGCAATGGAGTTTCGTTAAGGAGGTGGGTAAATGTTAGTAAGCTTGTTATTTGAGAAAAACTACAATCCAATTTTGTCAATTTTCGATATCTTTGCAATCCGCCTAAGGTGTTCAATATGTCATCCTTAGTATCTGTAATAGTCAAACTAACAATAGTATCATCTACATATTTAATTCAAGATTTCTGATTCTCTTTTCTGATTTATTAATAATTTCTTGCTTTTCTTTGTTTTCTTTGGATACTTCTTCTCGTTCTCTAACCTTTTCTTCTAAATTATTAATAATTTCTTGTGTGGCTTTGGCCTCTTCTTTAATCTTTTCTTCTAAACTTTTAATAATTCCTTTTGTTTCTTCTTCTCGTTTTCTAACCTTTTCTTCTAAATTATTAATATTGGCCTTGGTTTCTTCTTCTCGCTCTCCAACCTTTTCTTCTAAATATTTGAATTGTAAACGTAACCCTTCGTTCCTTTGCTCTAACTCCTTAATTCTCGTTTCCAAGCAAGTCTTTTAGGGATTTTTCCAAATTATTTTTTAAAACCATTTTTTATTGAATTTTTTTATTTAATTTGTTCGGATGGTTACTTCAATAGATTTATTGCTTTTCTTGCACCAATAGAAATATCTCTTTTGCTCAGCCCTCCTAAATAATTCCCTAAAATAATCTAATTTGCTCGGGATTACTTAAAAATGAAATGATCAACTGTTCCTTATAAATTAACTGATTTCTGAAATTGGTTATTTGGAGAATAATCGAAAATTTAAATTGAGTTTAGCTTATTTTATGTCCCACCTTATGAAATTCGCAACGAGACTTATATTTTAATTGAAGGAAATTCAACTTTCAAAAATTTTCAAAAGAATGAAAATGATGAACTAATACAATGGAGACAATTAATCATTTTATTCATTAAATATTAAAATAATGATATCGTGAGAGACACCGTCATAAAAAAAGTTTGGATATAATTTCGGACGAGAAGCGTTGATCATTTCTTTGTGAAATTTTCTTTGTGAAAGTTCAATGTATATACTGTCGTGTAAGAAATAGTAAGTAAGTACATATACAGAATAATTGGAATTGGAAATACAAGTCCAATTTTTTTCAATGTTTCGTTTTCTTCAATTCATGTGTTGCGTTAATAATTGTCAAATTCTGTGTATCCGAACTAGAATTCTCTTGAGGTTCAGCGTTAACGTGCATTTTATTTTTTATCCCTTAGAGCAAGAAAAAAAAAGGGTTTAAAATTTTTTGATGTGGGATTCCACAACAAATAATAAAGCACAGACGACTGTCACAAATCCGATTGATAGTGTTTTACGATTTCCTTTACGCTAAAATATCAAAATTTCAATGTTATGACCTCACTTGAAGTACAACCAGTAAAAAAGACTCGTTTAAATTCAGGAGGGTCGGTCCCATCAAATGATGTAATAAATAGTAAAGCCAGTTCAGAAGGAAAGATGACTCGTGAAGGGGGATGTTGGAATTACTGAGTTTGTTGATCCGCAATTCCTGGATTTTCTGGTGATATCAAACAAAGGTAACTAATATAATATCTATAATTTATCGAATTATCTTGTTAATTATTATTAATTGTCTAGAATTCTCCGATCTTTTGGTTTATGAAATTGATAATTCCGGGAATATCGTTCATCTTACAGATTTCAATTAATATCTACAAATGTTATCAATGATCGAGCCAGTGAGACACTAAAAGAAGAACCTGTTAAAAAAGTAATCATTAATTTAAATATGATTCTTTTTTAATGAGGAATATATTATTAAAAATTGTATTAGGAATTATAAGATGATTAAATATTTAGGAAATTAGAACTTTGCTTAATGAAAAAACTTAATTAAAAGTTCAAAATTTACTTAATGGTAAAAATAATTTTTGTCGATACAATGGTAAATATTATTTTATTTATCTTATTTTTTGAATCTTTTCTAAAATTTTTAATTTTTTTAAGAATCAAAGGTCTACTTGATGATTTAATTAAAAAAAAGAAATTTTATTTTCTTAAACAAAAACTGGTCAAATTAAAGATTATGCCGGAGCTTTGCGACAGTAAGTTTATTACATTTTCGATTTAATTTCATAAATAAGAATTTGATTAAAGAATTTATCTCTCATTAGATACCAAGGAATTTACGTCTTATGTATGTATATGCGTATCAATCATTATGTCTGGAATAGTATTGTTTCGGAGAACAGATGATAAGAAATTGATTATAATTATAATTATTTATAAATTTCTTATCAATATTAAGGTGAAATACTCGCTGTAGAAGGTTTAAAGAAAATTCAATATTTGATGTGGTGTTACCTTTACCGGGATATTCTGTCGTTTATCCGAATAACATCATATTTGAGAAATACTAGAAATACTGTATAAAGAACTATGGAAAGATCGGTTGGATTCACGTGAAATGCGAAGAAGTAACAAGTAAATTTAATTTTACAAATATTGTTTATTAAGCCTTTTAGCAATTAACGGTTATTATTTGGATCATATAGGAAAATCATGGGAAAACCAAGCAATTTATCATGGTTAGTTATAAAAGGTTGTATTAGGTAAGATTCATTTATATGAAATTTTTTAAATATGACGATTCAAATGTATCGTTGTCCTTTAAGAATCAATCTTTCTTTAGCAGCTAGTTCTTATGCGACTATAGTATTAAGAGAATTACATTGCAAGGTTTTGTAATATATTAAGTAATATAATTTGTTTTGAAAATGCATGAATTGTTAATTTAAAGCTTTGAGTTTTATTTTAATGATGATTTATTGGACTACCTACAATAGATGCAATAAATGTGAATTCGGCAATCCCACTTGTTTCAAATGCTCAGCATCAAAATGTGATTCGTACTCGTCACTTAAATTCATCTATTTCATCTAAAAACTTTTCAAGGAAACGTGATATTAAAGAATTAGAAATCAACGATCAAGAAAATAGTAAGTATGAATTTTTATTAATAATACATAATATCGCTAAATTGATTTTTTTATTAAATAAACTTTGCTTTGTAATTATAGGAAAACACGTTAAAGTAGGGGATAGTTTAATTTCGAAACCTTTAAATATAGACTTTGCAGAATGAGCCTGATTTTATTTCAATTTACATAAATATAAGTATGTATTTTATCTATATAATTTTATCTTAGCAACGTAGTTCTTTTTACTCGATGATCTTATAGTAGAGCTTGATTTTAGCAAAGTGTTCATAACATTTACTAATTAAATATATTATCATATATGGAAATTTAAACGTTATGCATGTAAATTTTTAATTAACAATTCTTTGGTAATTTGGGTGTAAATTGGTTGGGTATGCGTTTTTTATCAGCTATTTAAATAATGCAGGTGGTACAACAAATATAATAAAAAATATCGGTCCTATGTTATCACATATAATCAAAGTTTTATTGTCTAGAAAATATAAAATACCGTTTGAACATAAAATTTTTTTTTTTCTAGTTGCAGTATATTTATAAATTTTCAAAAATGCTTGAAACAAATTACAGTTTTTTCCCAATAATTGTATAGTTCCTACAGTAAATCTAGGAAGATCTGATAATATTTCAACGATCCATTACTACCATAACATAATTCGATTGCTGCGATTGAACCCGAAACTAGGCTAGTAAAAAAAAAAAAAGTTTAAAAATCTGCCTAATGCTTGTGCTTTATAATTTATAAGCTAAATAAAAAAAAATAACTATTTGACAAATTTTTGCTAATAGAACTTTTCATACGTTATTTTTTAATAGAATGTCCACTGTAACTTTATCGTTTGATCCGTAAGGTGGTGTTATATGGTTGTACTTATTATCTTTTTTATCTGAGATCGATTTCACTGATTAAATTATCTGCAAAGTGGACAGAAGCTATCTTCAAATGCAGAAATATTTTTTAGCAATATTATTTTCTACTTTGTAACAGAAAGTTCGAATGAGCAAAATGTCGTTAAAGTAAAAATTATAACTGTGAATGATAATTTGCATTCACCCAATTGTTTTTGAAAACATAATAGATAAGAAGCTTTTATTTTAAAATAAAAATAAATCAGTTAAATCAGATCGTTAATATATGAATATATGAACTAGTGTAAACCGCGTTCATTCATAGAAACGACTTTTAATTATTAGAGTGGAATATTTATATCGGTCTTCGAACGATGTGGCATTTTTCATAATAATATAAACAGCTTAATTTTATTTATTAATGATATGAAACTTCAATAATCATTATATCTACTTCACAGGTTGGAACTGACCAAAAATTATTGAACCGGTTAATAACCGGTTAAAATATTTGTTAACCGACCGTTAATTAACCGGTTAAACTTAGGTCAATAATATAAATTTTGCCGGAGTTAGACAATATTCTGCAATCATAAATATCTTAATTCTGGCCGAAAATTGAATTTCGGCCGGAGTTAAATTTATCTATTATAACCAGTTAATTAACCGGTTAAAAATTAACCGGTTCCAACCTCTAACATCATGATTACAAAAATTCAAGATGTTGCTTTTCATAGTCTTTTTTATATGCACGAATACATTGTGACAATAACTCCATTATTGCTGGCTATTTCACAATATCACTTATTATCTTTAATTATATTTGTACTTTCTTTATATTCTTAAATTTTCATATATTTTCAGATAGGTTCATCTGCAATAAGGGTAAATATCTGTTAAAAGACCATTTACTCTAGAAAAAACAGGTCTGAAGTATTCTTGTTTTCTTTTATTAACGCGCTGCTGAGGCATTTTCAACTTTTTTAGTTATGAAAAATTTGAATAAAGAATAGAGGTTGGAACCGGCCGATAACCGGTTAAAATATTTGTTAACCGGTTAATTAACCGGTTAAATTTAACTTTGGCCAGTACTATAAATTTGGCCAGAGTTAGACAATAATTTGCAATCATAAAAATCTTAATTCTGGCCGG